CTTTTTCCCTTTTCTACTCTTTTACTAAATATTTATTTTATTTATTTAATTAATTTATACAGATGCTTGCGGCAATTCAGTTTAAAAAAGAGTATTATATTTGTCATGTTTATGGAGCACCTTTGGTATTAATCGAATAAAACCATTTAGTAAAAAAGACTCTAAAGCGCAAATGTTAGAATGGAAAAAAAATTCCAAAAAGGCGTACAATGACTTATACAACCCTTGTGATCTGAATAATCCAAATTCTAAAACATTTCTTTTTAAATCATAAAGTATGTTTTTGTTTCTGATAATGAATATACTAATACTAATGCGGTTTGGACACAAGCTGTTTTAAAAACTAGATTCGATTATGTTGATATGTGGATTCAGAAGCTATCAAATAATGAGAATATATGTAAACTGTTTATTAATAATCTTATTAATTTTTTTGAACATATTTTATTTTATTTATTTATTTTTTTTAGGATACTGGTTTGCAAAAAGGTTTCATAAGTTCTTCTGCGATATCAGAAGCAGAATCTTTAAATGTGATTCAAGAAAATTATGATGAATTATTTTCAAATAGCACTAATGATAATGAAAGCACTCATGATAGCGATAGTAATTATAAAGAAGAATAAGCTCCAAGTATTTCATATACTTATTATATTTGTTATTAAATTGCAAAAACGATTTAAGTAATTTGATTTAAAATATGCATGTATTTAGTATTAGTTTTAGATTTTGCTATGTATTGTTTAATGTATTAAAAAATATATATTATAATAAATAATATTTTGCTTAACATAATAATACATATTTTAAAACGGCATTATCTAATAAAATAAGTTGTTTAACATAGTAATACATGTTTTTAAATAGTGTTAATTAATAAAATGTGTTGTTTAATGCATTTTTAAGTTGTTTATTAATGCTATTAGTCTGTATAGGGTTCGTTTCCCTACTTCTTTTAGTGTTAAATAATAACTAGTATTAGTTAATACTTTTTAAATACTTTTTAAACTTTCTGATAATAATTAAAGAAGAAATTTATCCTCTTAAATATAAATATACATTTGCTTAGTGTTATAAAATACCTGATAAATATGAAATTGAAATAGCTTGGAGTAGAGGTCAAAACTGGCAAACTATAAAATATGCAATTAATTATATCGATAATAAACCTATATAGTATATATATTTTGGTGATAGTTTTAAAAATCAAGTAATCTCAGAAAAAAGTACAAGTAATGCTACAACTTTATTTCACAATATAAGTAAAATTTAAATATACTGTATTTTATTTTATTCCTAGTATATAGTATCATATTTAATATTAATTTATAATATTATTTAGAAAGTTACTACTCTAAAATCAACTCGAACTTCAGGTGTTCTTTTATTTGAATTGCAATTAAATTGTGTTAAAAAAAATCGTGAAAAAAAGACAATGTAATAGTTTAAAGTTAGTTAATGAAGCAAGTTCATCTATACTTACAAAGCGGGCTCGAAAGTTTGCAACACAAATTTATAATAATTTTTAAATCTTGAGTAATAAACATTATAACTAATTAGATGTTTCTAATTTAGAATCACTTCAATATTCAGTTGATACTAATTTTTATACAATTGAATATAATAAGTGAAATAAAGAAAATTAAAAACAACATGCAATGCCTTTTGTACAAGTAATGGATCAAAACTTAATATCTTAGAAGGCTTATAAAAATTTAACAGCCTTGGAATATAATTTACTATGAGAATATATTGTATCTAATACAAAAATTCAAATTGATGATGAAATGCAAAAATTAATTCCAATCAAGTTGATTAATATAAAAACAGGATTTGAAATTAATTTACCAAAAAATGAACAACCAGATATAGATGATTTGGATATAATAGAACAAGTAACTAATGCAATTGGAAAAGCAGGATATCGTAGTATTAAAGATATTTTAAATTATATAATGCCCTTTTTGATTAATCAAAATATCTTAAATTCAAAAAATTCAAGTATTAATCTTCGAATATTAGGTGACAGAAGAAATGTTGGAAGAAAGATCAAACATGTGATAGTAACATGTGCAATTCTTGATGATCAATCAAATCTTTATTTTCCAAACCACCATTATATTGTAGTATTATATCCCAGAAGTGAAAATTATAATTCTTTAAAAAATGCGATATCATTATTTTTAAATGAATTGTACGAATTTAAAGAATTAGAAATAAAAATTAATAATATTACTTAGAATGTTAATCTTTATTTCTCTGCTGATAGGAAATTTTTATGTATTTGTTTGGGGTTTAATGCAGCAAACTCTTATTACTATTGTCTTTGGTGTAATACAAATAAAAATAATAGAGAAAATTTAGATGCACAATGGACAATTAGCAAATCAATAGATCAATTAAATGCTAATTTTACTATCTATAATGGTTACAAAAATCCTCCGCTTTTCAATATGATTTCATTAGATAATTGGATAATTGATAAGCTCCATACTATGCTAAGAATAACTAACTGTTTTTGGCACTTAGTATTAAATGAATTGCAAGATGATGATCTTTTTGATAAATTTACTCGCAAGGTAATTATAAAGGAAATGAAATATATTTTAGTTCAATTTCAATTTTGAAAAAAACAAGGATCAAAAAGCTGAAACTATATATTGTTGATGAGAGAAGATAAAATAAAAGTTTTAAAAAACTTTAATCTTAATTTACTTTTTATACCTTTACGAGCAGCTAAAATTAGAGATTTATGAGACAAATTTTCACAACTTTATGATAATTTATAAGATAATTCTACTAATCTAAATGTATTCGAAAAGGCTGCAAAAGAATGGTTAAATTTGTTTTTAACACCTTCTAGTGGCAATTGGGAAGCGAATAAAGAAGTAATTTCAGGTTTATATTTACCAAGTGATATTATGCCTTACATGCATGTTTTAATTTATCATGTGGCTGAAATGATGCGAATACACAGACATTGGGGATTAAAATTCTTTTTTTGTAGCACTGTTGAAAAGAAAAATCACCAACAAGTTTTTTACTTTTTTCGTAAAACCTTGAAAGATGGAGAGAAAAATAAAAATGAAAAATTAGCAATTAAAGACCTTCTTGATTACGAAAATAGAAATCTATATTTTTTTTATAATAATATTTCCTGTTCATCTTCTAAGCATCAAGAAATTTATATTTAATAGATAAATATTATGCAAATTAAGATATACAAAGTTTATTGTATTAATATGCGAACTTTATTTTAAACAAATTATGTTTATTAATTATATTTAGTAAATAAAGATAAATATTTAGAAATAAGCTAATTACATTTATGAAAATTACCAATGTATTGATTAGTAAAGATAGATATGTTAACTAATTAGAATTCTGTCCCTAGAATAAATAATTACGCTTGTAAGAGTGAATATATGCATTCAAATATTATTAAAAATCTTCTTATTTAAAGTGAACATAAGATATTGGATGTAATTTGGAATAGCGTTAAAAAATAAGATTCTTAAAATCCAATATGAGGTATATTAATAAAATATATAATCGCGAAAATTGGAATTGAAGTTTGTAAAAGCAAATGTTGTACTAATAGTATGAAATATATATTATTAAAGATTTGAACGAGCAAAAAAGTTTGTAGTGGACTACCTTTTATTAATAGCAGAATAGCATATATTTGAAGTAACTTATATCTTGTAGTGATAATTAATAAGTTAAATAAATAAAAAAAAAACTGATTATTTTTTTAAAATCTTAAGATCTGATAATTATATTATTCTTGTATAGCGATACTAGGCGTGTTGAGAAAAATAAAGGTCACTATTAGAGTATATGAATTATCTAGTAATTAAAACTGTTATACTTTAAGTGAAAAAGAAAGTTTCATAAGTCATCAACATGCTTCTTAACTATTAGATCAATATAGAATTCGTTTCCAGTAGGCTTTTAGTAACAACACTAATTAATTCTAAATACTTTGATTAGTAAATGTTCATAAATATGATTGAATAATTTCTTTAATTCGCTACCCACGGACATACTAGAAATTTAGTAGCCAAGTAATGTATAAATGCACGATTATGAACATGTTACTGGATAGTATATATTTAAGTTTGAATAATTCAATTAAAAATTGATAACCAACAGAGAGTCTTCACCAAGCTGCATCATGCTCACCAAATTTTTTTCTTAATTTTTCAGTTTTCTTTTTTAATCTTTCTTGTTTTTCGTTAAAATCTCTTATTCTGCTTTCAGTTAATTTGCTGGCTTTATTAACCAAAATAGTTTTAATTCCTTCAATTTGCCCATTAATTCAATAACAAATCATCTCCTGCTAAACAAAAAGAACTAAAAGATTTAAATTTACTTATTGAAAATCCTACTGGAGTTTCTGAATAACTCCAAAGCTATAAATATCAAGCAACTTTTGCAAAATCTTTACTGACAAAATTTTGTACTATTACTGCTAAACTTACTCAAATCCACTTTATTGAAATATTATTTCTCCGAATCCATAATACTAAGGCCCTACTTTCTGATTGGACATATTTTTGACAATCCATTTTACCAATAGAAAATTTTATTGAATGATTTTTTTCGATCAACTATAAATTATAAAATATTTTAAGGAATTGCGTGCCAACTACATAGCGATTTCAATGACAATCTATATCTTTGTGTTGAATTTAAATTACAAGGAGGGACAGTAGAAGTAAACTTCAGTAACGAAAAATTGAATATTTTGGTTGCAACCTAAAGTAAAAAAAATTTTGATATAAATATATTTTTGTAAATGCATAATAAGGTTTTTAATAGTGTTATTAAATTAATTACATTATATTTACACATTATTTGCTCTAACAGTATTTTGTAAAACTGTCTACCCGGGTTTGTTTTTTGCAACGTTCATTAATCTATGCTCTGAAATCATTATTTTGTAGGATATATTCATCTGGACTTTCATAGTGATAATATTTTGCAGAATGGAGACGTTAGTGAATATTTTAGATATAGGATCGTCTAAAAAGCAAGATGAAAAAAACAATTCAAATGGTCATATTTACAGTATTAGTCTTCCAGATAAGGTTTCAAAATTGTTCTGAAGACTTCACTTATCAATATATCAAAGTATTTATCATTTGTCTCTATATTATAAGTTAATCCATATATCTTAAGCCTGTTATCACATTATATATTTCAAATAATTTTTATGCTTTATAAAATTTATATAATGAATTGGTTTAATACAGTATATATATAATAAATTGTATAATAAATAATGATCAGCTTACTTCTTTCAAAAAATCAGGAGAGTTTTCCTGAGAACTAGACGCCTTAAATATAATGATGCTAGATTTGTTGTATAACCTATTACATTTTCCATTCGGTACCAGTTCGCAGAAAATACAAACCCAAATTTTCCTTAGTCTATCCATTCATGATAATCAATATCTGCATTCATTCTTGAATTATTATGTCAGGTTGGCACCGATGATGTAATTGTTTACCAATCCAAGTATCTCTTAATTGCCTAGGCATATATAATTTAGGATGTTGTTTACTATTCAGTTCATGAAAGAGTTTTAACAATTTCGAAATATATACGTAAAATAGCAAAAAGCTTAAATACCTTCAGATCGTCATCAAGATCATAAACAATAAATAAAGGAGTAATTAGGGTGGGAGTATATTTAAATATCTTCAGATCGTCATTATTAAGATCACAAACAATAAATGAAGGAATAATTAGGATAGTGGTATATTTTAGCACTCAATGGAAAAGTATGTACGATAGTGAATTTGAAATTTAAGACTTCTAATATTAATAAGTTTTATACATATAAATTAAATTAGCAAATGAAACATCAATTTAAAAAATCTACATGTAAGTTAACCTAATTCTAACTCTTATCTTAATTTTCTAACGTTAAACTTTGTAATATCGCATGTAATATAATAATGGGTCAAATTTTTTAAAAATCAATAAAATGAATAACAAAGCAGAGTTTTATAAAATGGTAGACTTTTGAACACTTCTTCAATTTCGAAAATATTTCTTGGCCATAAAGAAATGAATATAT